TTAATTTTTTCCTTCTTTTGTTGAATAGATGCGGAATTGAACTTTTGTGAAATGTTCTTTGTATTGATATTTATATGAAACACTCTAGTTATCTTGAAGTCTTTAAAATTAAAAATAAATTGTTCCTCGGACGTACCAACAAATAGTGCTTTGCATTTGAATGTATAAGTAACACTTTCTGAAGGATTTACCACTGTGCTAATCCTTGTATTTATCGGTGACACTAGTGACAACTGAGACGGAGTCTTCTGTGGCACAAAGGAGCCGTTTTGCAATAAATGAGCATAACTGGCGTTATTTCGTATCGAAACCTCCAGAGTACCCTCTTCTCCTATGCCCAAATTGAATTTTAATTCGTCGTCTATAACAATACCATATTTGTTTTTTAATAATTCGGTATCTAATACGGAAGGAATATTGCTTGTCGTTGGTTTAATGAATTTATTTGGAGCCTAAAATGAGAATAAAAAAAAACAAGATAAATATTTAGCAATTTATTATATAATAAATATCGTAACATGCAATAACTAAAAACTTGCCTGTATTAATGGAGTTACAGTCAACGATCTCCACTTGTACTGTCCTTGATCACTTTCTATGCTTTCAGTCACTACTTTGTCACCAACGTGTGGAATGTAACCCATACCACACAAGCGCTTATAAAAAATTATATCCTTATTAATTACTCCCACCTTGTTCTCTGGATTGTACTTTGATATCACACCACAATTTAGTTGAGATCGCAATGGTTTGATTTCATTAATCTCCAAGATTTCGCCCATCCAATCTTCAGATTCGTTGCTCAATTCAACTAAACAGTCTAACATTAACCAATCGCCAATTAGGGGAATGAATTCGGATCGCACTTTGCTCAAGTCAACGCGAATATTATTTGGCTCGACAATGGCGATTCGACCTTCGCGTTTTGTCACTTTGGCAACTATGTTCCTTGATGTCATATAAGTATGTACATCGTTTTTCACGTTGATGTTTTCATTATTCCAACTGTCATCTATTACACAGATAATTTTTCGTACTTTTGGCTTTGCATTTGGATTCCGTAGATATAGCAAGTAGTGAATCTTGTCACCTACTTTGAGATTATTAGTCGAATCATCAATTTTTTCGTATGTATAGGAATCATCTATGAGGATGTAATCTGTAAAGATCTCGGTAATACTTCCGGTCTTGTAGTAACATCCTTCTTCATTCAGTGCTTCTTCTTTCTTTTCAGTTCTATCCGTGTTAGTCTCATTTGCAAGCTCTATGCGAGATATAACTTCATTTATCTCTTCGTCTGTATCCTTTGCAGTCTTCTTTGGATACACATAGCTCATAGCATATTGAATCCCATTATACATTAACGACAACATCTTTAATTCCTCTGGCTCCTATCTAAGTACCTATGGACACAAAAGAAAGTTTAAAATATATTTAAAATAAGCATAATACTCATCATTTATCTTTGTTTAATATTTGATAAATAACAAAGATGAAATGATTTCAAGAACATTGCGAGCATCAAGTGAACATGGTCTAGGGATACTTTCCAGCGAAAGGCATGTGATAAATTTGGTCATTTGTACTGGATTACTCCAATTTAAAGGCTGTATTCCATTATTCACTGTAATTACTGAAAATCTATAGTATAGGGTTGCTATCTCATTTGTGAGTTTTTTGTCATACGACCAAAACACACAAATAAAATAGCACCCTAAGTAAATTTATATATTTAGTACTCGCAATGAATAACAGAATGCAGTCAAAGCTTTAGTATCTAATGCATTGGCATAACTTTACAATAAAATAATATATACATATTCTCTGTTAAATAATGTAACAATATCATTATTGACTATAATATATACTTAATTATTTGTAATATTGGTAATACTCCAGAATTGTGTCCTGTTCGTCGATTTTGATGAAATTATTATATAAATTGAATTTGCTAATAGACACCACATAACACAGGAACGAAGGGCATTTCACTCTTGAGTTACAGTGCCAGTCTTAGCGAGTCGGTGCGTTTAAAAAACGTTAAGTCAGCACGAAGTCAGCGCGAATCAACGAACGCAAATAGCAAAGATACGTTTACATATCCTTGTTTATCCCGTAGATTAAATAAAGACACCTATCCTATAGGTCATGGACTAAGCGTACGATGTAAACGTAGCCAGTGCGAGGAATCAGTAGAAGTCAATGAAAATAAGGAGCGAGTCAGCGAGAGTCGAGCAACGATGATTGTTTGACTCGAGAGTGAAATATCCCTCGCACAGGAAATCATTATATTCTTGTTGTTTGCTGTCAAATAAAGATAAAATGTTATGTTGTATTATGTCCTGTTGAAAAGCATCCTAAGTACTTTCTATCTAAATAATATAGAAATGTATATAGGAAAAAAGCAAAGTCATCAAGCAACGAAGAAGAATTAAAGATAATAGAAACAGAAGAAACACGATATTTACCGATCTATAGACTGATATCTCCACTCTGTCGCTTTGAGATAGTCCAGTTCTTTTCGCAAGGATTGTACGCGTTTTGTGTGAAGTTCTTTGAGAAATCGTTTGCGCTGCTTTTGCTCTTGTAATTCAGATTTCATCTGATTCAGGATCTTAGATGTTTGAGTCGCGCTTGAGGTCAGCTCCGAATCCTGGGATTCTGGCGTTCTTTGCCCCGTCGAGTGCCCTAAAGTGCTCGTCGACAGGGTAGACGAATTCATAATTCGGTTCGCGAGTCCTACAACAACCCCATCACACACGGCACAATGTTAAATATTAGATACCTAACCTAACTTTTATCTAAAACTTAAATGTTTCGGAACCTGGGACCACGGCATCACAAGCCTAGATCCCCACATAAACACAGGCGTTTTAACACCGAACGTGATTGGTGAAAAATGGGTGATGAGGGTAAATTTCACCCTCATAACCCGTTTTTAAGAGCCCGAATTATATCGCTCTCCACTCTTTCCAGCAATATAATTAAATTTTTCATTAACTTTTTAGCATAAAATTGTCTCAGTTGTTTTATTTTAACAACGAACGATTTAAGTCAATTGAAGAGAAGATTGATTATATAAAAATCTCCAGCAATATATATGATTAATTATTATGATTATTATTTATTATTATTTTATTATCTATGATGAACTACCCAGATAGCACAGAGAATCCAAAAAGAATTCTTTCTTTCATTCCCGATTTACGAAATGAATTCTTTTTCTATCCCATTTCTGTTCTAAAAGTATTCCTAAGGGTCTCAAAAGAGTTCACTTTCATATCACCAATTGTGAGTTCTTTTTCGGATTCAAAAGGTACCCTTTTCTTTACTTAGTCTAAATGACTTCGCAATGAAATCGAAATAACTTTGAAATAATTATTCTAATGGAGTGCTAAAGCTATTCCTTTTATGCTCTTTCTGGAATCGGAAGGATTTAAACAACACGAAGTCGACTAAAAATTGACTAGAGAAGTCAAGAGTCGACCAAGGCTGTGTTCCAAATTTACTGCCAGCACTGAAAATACTACAGTTTACATTACGTGCACTATAGATTTTCAGTACTGGCAGTCAATTTTGGAACACAGCCTAATAGTCAGCAAAATTGAAAACAATCGATTATTATTAATCCAGCTAATCAAAATTGATTACCGGATAGTCAACTTCTGAATGGTTAATGTTTTTTTTCCCCATTTTTTTTATTAAGGTATCAATGTCCAATAAGTTAACAAAAAAAGTGAAACGTAAAGGTACAATTTTAACACGTAGAACGATCCGATACCAGAGTAGAAGCCCTTTTTGGAGCTCGCTCTATTCTAATTCGAGTGAGGAGATGCTGGATGGTTCCATGGTGGAAGAAGACAGGTGAGACAACGCGCATAACGGCACAATTCAGAGCAATCAGCTAGCCAAATTTGGGTCCTAAATTTTGGTTGTCACACAACGGCCAATCAAACTAAATCAAATTTGGATCCTAAATTTGGTCCTACTAGGCATCCCTCAAGTTGTCTCACCTATCTTCTTCCACCCCATGGATGGTTTCGCGGAGCTCTATTTCTAATAGTGCGGGACTAATCTTGAATACGGGTTACTACTCCATCGCGTGACCCTCGCGAGGTGCCGGTCGACTTATAGTTGATTAATGTAAGAAATACTTTTATGGAGTCCTTTGTTAATTGTCGGAAAGGAATTTTTTTTAAGTTCGTTTCGAACAAATTACGCTAATTCATAAAGAAGTCAAGAAAATGAATTCTTTTCGAGTTCAAATGGATCAATTGTGCTATTTGAGTATTATGATTATTATTATTTATTATTATTAAATAATGTAACAAAGAAGGGCTACGAGCCTAAAACAAATCATTTAATATAAATTTTCTATTTACATAAGAAAATAAACAATAATATAAAACATACGTTTCAACCAGTATCAGGTCATTTTTAATGTTGACAAAAAATAAATATTGTAATATAAAAATTAGAAATTATAAAATTCGTTAACATAATGAATAAATCCTATCTTAAGCTGTTCAACAAATACGTAATCTAGGCCATGTTCAATGTTAGATAAATAAGATTCAACATTGAGAATGACCTGATACTGGTCAAAACGTAAGTTTTATATTATTCCCAAAGGTCGAAACGTATACTTGTGTAGTGTACTATATTGTACATCCATGTAATTTTAATTTTCACATTAAAATCTAGTATTGGCTCATAAAGGCTTATTGAGAGTGTTGTTTGATTTAATCTAGTGAGCGCCTTGAAAGAATATTTTTATTTTTATTTTATATTATTGTTTATTTTCTTATGTAAGTCGAAATTTATATTAAATGATTTATTTTAGGCTCGTAGTCCTCTTTGTTACATTATTTAATTTATTGAGCCTTTTTACTTAATTTTAATTTTTTATTATTATTAATTATTTATTATTGTTTTTCACTACTGAAATTTTTCAACTGTTTCATTTTGATAAAAAATGATAAAAAGAATTGATTAACTTTTTACATCATGGAATTTACTGAAAGATTTAAAGTACACTTTATAATATATTATAAGTAATCTCTAATTGGTAAATAGATGATTCCTTATTATAAAAAGTATTTCTTAAATCTACGATCGATTGAAAGGCAATATGAGAAAGGTGCCGAGTAAACGTATAAGTCTCACAAAATTACCACGCTCGCGGCTGCCGCAAAAACCATATGGATTCTGTTGCGAGGAAAAGGATCAGGATCCTGAGAAACGCTATGATATGCGAAACCCGCCGTTTGCGTCATCCTTGATGAACGTCGTTCTGGGCAGCGGCGGACCCGGAGTGAAATTTCGCGTACAGGACATTGGTCCGCCGCCGTATCCTATTCAACGCAGAATTCTTGAGGCTAAAGGTAGAGCTTATCTGGGACGATGCAAACGATGCCGCAGTCCCCTACGATGGTTCCTAGAGGACGAAATCGCGCTCGCGCGCGAATTCCTCGCCAAGGAGAAACGTGACAATTACAATGCAACTGTCAAAAGGAATTTAATGATCGCTAAACGAAAGGGTGATACTTCAAAATACGAAGCAAATTGATTAAATCTCAATTTTTATCACATATTTTAACAAAGATTGAATTGTTTTTATATAATTTTTTTTATATGATGTATGCATTACCTATCTATTAATGAAATTTTTAAAAAGCAAAAAATGTATTAATTATATTATATATGTATAATTAACATTTTTTACATATATTACATATAATTATTACTGATACCATTTATGTAATTAAATATATACTTAGTGATACTAATTATGTAATTGAAGTATTTTGTATTTGTACATAATTAAAAATCATTAATTAGAGTTCTTTAAATTAATAAAGCCAGAGCACGCAGTCGTAAAAAAAGGAATTTGAAGATTGACTTCTGAAGTAACCAGAATAATTCGAGAAATAATTCATGTACTCTTCGAAGAAAAATCCACTATATACAGCGCTGTAACAAAATATTTTGTTACAAAGATAAAAATAAAAATGAATGATGAAATTTCATGTATTTGTAAATTGCGAATTATATAAATGCGAATAATTATAAAACGCGGCAGAATATCTTGAAATGTTTATTAGAAAAATATATTTTAGTAGAATACAAATACAATTTATACAGCTTTGCTTGTCATCCACTATAATCATAATGTTATACATTAATAAAGAACTGTAGGCAGAAATAAGGGAACTGCAATACATGGCATAGGATACAAAATGAATTCACAATTCACATTTGATTTAGTATTTATGTATACATATAGTTTCATATATATATGAAAAATGTACACAACGTAATAACGACACAAAAAGCAGCTTTTCTTTTTCTTATAATTATGTTTTGGATAATCATTTTACAATTTCTTTATAATGTTTAAAAAAACTTCAAATTGCATACAATCATCACATTTAAACATATTTTATATGCTGCGTAATTATAATGTTGCGAAAATAATTTTTAATTTTATTTTTTTTATAGAATCGTGCATTTGATGGAAAAAAATAATTGCATATATCTTTCACTTCTTAAGAAATGGCATTGAAAATTGCTGTAAATATTTGATTATATATAGTTACCAAACATGTATGTTAAAGGAATAAAACTTTAGTTTGCTTATTGATAAAAAAACCGTTGTATGAATAATATATAATTGTAATTATGTTGTTTGAACAAAGAAAAATTTAGTTATCTCAAATTGAAAGCAAAAAACTGGAAAGATGTTTTAATCAGACGACAATTTAAAAGGATATCATGAACATTAGAAAGAACAGTAACTATTATTCGATATTATAAAAGAGTTAATTAGCATTAAATATAAAAACGTAATTCAATTATCGATTAAGTAAATTAATCTTTGGTTGTATATTTGGTGTGATGTGTATTGTAGTAGCAACATGTAATAAATTTATAAGAAACGCGGCATATTTGTGTCGCTTATAAAAGAGAGAAAAACTAAACTTTTGCTGCTATACGTTATGTACAGCTTTTTATTGTGAAATATGCATTATATACTTATGTAAACGTAATAAGAAAAACGCGGCAAATAAAAATGATTTTTTGGAAAAATTACGTTATACAAGTTCTTATACTGTAAGTTTATATGTACATACATAATGCATATGTACGTATAAATTTGCAATATGTATCCGCTATGTTATAAAATTATACCATCTATTTAGGAATGTTGTCCTCTAAAGAGATATCAAGTACCTCGTCAGTTTCGTTTGTGTCGTCGAGGACTGATTGTACACAGGGATTTACGACAGCGGCTACAATTTTCTCCGAATGTGATGTTTTTGGTGTCAAAGAACATTTCGCTTCTGTTTTGCTTTCATTTAGCTTAGATGACTCGCCTTCAGAAGTACAAAGCATATCCTCTGACTGTTTTTCTGAATGACTATGTTGCACAATTGGCTCAGTCTTAATTATGGGCGATTCCGCTGTACAAGATAATCCCGAGGAAGAATCTGCGTTATTAGTATCTGTGTTCTCAAAATGACTTTCCAAGCCATTGTTTATACTTTCAGGAATGGTTCCGTTTTTTATTGGACTTTGCCTTTGAATCTGTTCGAGATTTATTTGTTCTTTTGGCAAGCACGATACCATTTCTAATCTTGGAGACTCGTTTGCATTAGATTCCATCTTAATACATACTTCTTGTTCCACATTCTGAACTTCACTAGTATGAAGTTGCGTGTCCTGAGGCTGTACTTCAGTTGTTACAGATAAAACTTTGTTCGATTCTAAATCCTCAATATCTCTTCTTGCATTTAATAAATTTGCATCGTCGATTTTCTGTGAGTCTAGATCGCCAGTGGCATTTCTTATCATATTCTCAATTATTTCGTCAACACTAAGTTCTTTTACATTGGAAGATGATGCTGTCGAACATGGTTCGATAGAAGTACTTGCACTAGAAATCGTTTCACTTCTAACCGTGACATCTAAATCCTTCTCTATTTCAACTGCGCTGATAATATCTTTCAATATTGAGGAAGTACATTCAACTACTGTAATTTCAGAACTGTCATCTATGTTCTCTTTGATTTCGCTAAAGCTTGCAATTTGCTGGTCTTCGCATTTCTCATCTATATCAGAGTTAGTCAATCCATTACACGCTATTTCATTAATTTCAAGCTCCTTCATTTGATTTATACATTCCACATCATCCGTTTGATTTGATACTATTTCTTTATTATTTATTAGTTGATGCTCATGTGACATTGTTTCTTGCATTTCTATATTGACAGTATTATTTTCAGTAATATTTTCATCATCTGTTTCGATTATTTCTATAACCTCTGGAATATTTTCGCATTCAGATAAAAGATCAATAACATTTGTTTCGTTTAGGCATAATCGAACGTGCATCGGATCGTCTTCATCGAGAGTTTCAAACTGGAACATCGTGGCTCCTTCGGCGGCGAGTTCTTTAAATTTGTCGCAAGCGTTTTCACTCCATGCAATAATGTCGTTTGGTTTTTCCAGTGCACATCGTTTCGATAAGATGGGAATATTCACGATATCCTCCGGCAGCACTCGCAATTCCTCCGTAACCGCAGAGTTACCGTAATCCATGTATAAGACCTCCGTACCCTCTTTACAATGTGCGACTATCTTTGCTCTGTACCAACAACCGTCCTCGGGATATCGAGCTGCACAGACTGTGCCCACGTCGAGGCTATTCAACGTGAGAAAACTCTCCGCATCTCGTAGACGATCCGACATTACCTCCAATTCGCTTATACTGCTTTCGGCTTGAATCCAGAACTCGTGCGGACTGTTGATGTGACTGACCACCACATTCGGCGAATTCTCTTCACCGAGCGGTGGCAATCTCTCCTCGATAACCGGTGAATTTCGCTCGCACATATTACCAAGAATGTCAGCAACATTTTGGCCGTCCAGGGTTAGTTTCACCAACGACGTTTCTTGGTCTTCCAGAACGTCTAGGAGGAAAATTGTCGCGCCGTCCGCGGCCAGTTTGAAGAATTCTTCACGTGCCTGTTCAGACCATTCCGTGACTTGCGACGGCAATTCTAAACAGCACTTTCGCGACAAAGGCGGTATACTTGCTAGGTCTTCTGGAATGATACGAATTTCGGTGGATATTGCGGAATTTCCGTAATCGATGTATATGACTTGCGTGCCGTTATCGTCATGAGAGACAATGCGCGCTCTGTACCATTGTTCGTCCTCAGGATACTTGGCGACACACAGCAAACCTTCTTTCCTTTCTTCAATCTTCGGGAACATATCGGCGACTATGAATCTATCCGCCATCACTTCTAAATCAGCAACCGATTTTTCTTCCTGAACCCAAAACTCGTTCGGTGAATTAATGTGGCACACAAAGGCTGAGTGCGGATCCAGTTCAAGATCGACTATCTCATTTACGAGTTCCTGCTCGGTATTAATTATGATGGCGTGTTTCTCTTCGACTAACGTCTCGCTAACGCTCTTGTTGTCTATGAACAGTTCTACGCGCTTAGACATAGTATCTGCTACTATCAGAGTCTGAAGACTCTCCACTGATGTTACTATGTTCTTGAATCTCTCGCAAGTCGATTCGCTCCAATCCTCCGTATCTACAGGAATAACATCGAGTCTGCATTTAAATGCGAATGCTTCTAAATTCTTCCAGTCATCCGGTATCTGTCGAATGTTGCTTGCCTTGTTATCTATGATATCGGTATTGCCATAGTCTATGAATCGGACAGTTGTGATGTCTTCATCTGCGTCCAATACTTCTGCGCGGTACCAGAGATCGTCAATAGAGTAAATGGCAACGCACAAAGTGCCTTCTTCTGGTATACCGTCTATCGTCAAAAAATTGGGAACCTCTAGCTGAAGTTGTTCTTGTTTTTCATTAAGAGCTGTAATCTTATCCATATATTGTAACCAGAACTGACTTGGAGAATCCACGTGAGATACACATATGTCGAACCTGCCAGGTGTTGTTTCGTGTATCTGAGATGCTGATTCAAATGTTTGTTCTATTTCTACTAAATTCAACGAATGGAATTTATCGCTGAGTTTTTCTCCGTTTTCAATTAGATCGACGATCCATTTTTTGTGCACGTTGTAAAATGTAGCCATGAAATCTTTATTCATCAAATGAGTTTGTAATATATCTTTCTGTTCAGCCTCAGTGCCAGTAAGAGATACTGATAACGATACATTTATGGCTAATTGGTGGGGTTCATAAAATTGCGGTTCCAAAACCATGAGTGAGTCTAGGGCAACTTCCTCCGAGTTGCCGTAGTCAAAATAATTTACATAGGCCGTCGTTTCGGTAAGATTAATGATTTTTCCTCTGTACCATTGGCCGTCGTCTGAATATTTCGCCGCGCATAATAAATGAATTTCTGGTTTAAGTTTTTGTCCAGAACTAGCATAATATTGTTGAAGATCTTCCGCTAATTTAGTTTCAAGATTCACATCCAAATATCGTTGCAACCAGATGTTAGTAGAATGATCCACATATGATACAGAGACATTGTGAGTTGAACTTAGAATGGGCATTGCACATACAGGTGGTATCTTCTCTTCGGTATTCATTATCCCATTACCGAATAAATCATACAACTTCACGATAAGTCTATACAAACAAAAGATGTTAATACCATTAACAAGAAACTTGTTTGTATATTTATAATTATAGCAAAATTTACAAACCTGCTATTATTGACTTCTTTCACATAAATTAATACTTCTGTGCCTTCAAGTTCTTTCAATTGTTTATCTGCATTGGGCGACGCTGTTACATTTTGTAGAGAGCATTCTAATGCTTGGTTTTGCATGGCTGCGAGCTCTCCAGGTAAAGTCAAAGCCTGGATCATTACATTATCATATTAAAAATAAAAAATTAAAATAATAGAAACTAATAAATATTAAAATTATAAATTTTTTATTATTCATAGTTTACAATTTCTACCAGATTCAATATGTCGTAATCTCATACTGCGACA